TAACAGATGCGCACCAGAAGCCCCGCCTCAACCAGACCAACATGGCAGCTGGACTGGCGCTGCGACCAACAAAGCGTCTGCATCTAAATATCTGTGATGAGGTCTCTGTGTCAGCGTCTGTGTAAATAAAGTTTTCACCTTTGTATCCTGTGTTGCAGACACAGGTGACCTGCTGAGAGTCATCGCTGCGGTAACAACTTCCTGCAAACTGCCGCGGGCTGCCGGGGCCGTCGGGACACATGCAGGGACGACAGTGGTCACCTGACCCCAGTGCTGGGTCACCATAGTAACCATCCAGACACCTGAAAGACAGACAAGAGCGCCGATGGCATCATCCTGCTAAATAAACCCAACGGCAATTGGCTGACGGACGGTGGGCAAGTTACCTGTCGCAGGCGCGTCCCGTCGTGTGGTCCCTGCAGTCGATGCAGCGGCCGCTGTCGGGGTCGCAGACATCGGCGTGACCGTTACAGAAGCAGGGGCGGCAGGCGGGGAAGCCCCAGCGACCCGGCAGACAGCGGTCGCACTGCCGACCGTACGCACCCGAAACGCAGGAACACTGTCCGGTCAGCTGATCGCAGAACACACTGAGAGAGCCCTGAGGGTCGCACCCGCACGCTGAAAGACACGCACGACGAGGTCACACAGAGGTCAATGAAGCTTCAGCGCTGATTGTAAACAGACTTTTGATTGGTTATAGATGGAGGTGGTTTTGACCTCGGCAGCCGTTGGGTCCAAACTGGAACGTGGACGGAGAACACCTGTCGCAGTTCCTGCCGACCACGTTGGGGCGGCACTCACACTGCCCGCCATGGGGGTCGCACACGGTGCTGAGCGAGCCCTGAGGGTCACACTGGCATTCTGGGAAATGGCATCAGACAAGGAGACACGTCAGAATAACGAGAAGACGCTAAAGCCTCTGTGACAATAGATTTATGACTGCAAGGAATGCGGAGGAGGAGGAGGAGGAGGAGGAACCTGCCGGGTCCTGTCGAGGAAGTGAAGCCTGAGGCGATGGTGAGAGGATGGGTGACAGACGTGAAGCGGGGGAGGAGGGGAAGGGATAAAGATGTGAGGGATCAAAGGTCGGCGTTGGAATGAGGAAGAGGTTTTTGTTCCCGATTTTAAACTGTTTGGACTGAAGAACTAAAGGTTCTCTGAATCTGATTCTGGGTTCCTCCTTCCTGGAGTCCTTCCTGTCCAGAGTTGGACAGCAGAAATATTTTCCCCTTCTCTTTCTGACTCTCTGATTTTCCCGGGAGGTTTGTTTCCGTGACGAAACCCCAACCCCTCCAAAGTCACCATAAATACAGACACTGCCCTAAGCTCTAAGCCCTGAGTGTCTCACAAGCAGCCCTTTGCTTTTAAACTCCAGCCAGGAAGCGAGGTTATTAAAGTGAAGTCACTAAGCCGTGCTACCTTTAGCTCCCTGGTGCAACATGGCGGAGATGCTGAAGATGAAGTTTCTGCAGATGTCAGTTATCGGCGTCTTGACGACGCTCTGGCTGTTCTCCAAGCACCGATAACGCTGGAAAGTCTCCCAGGCGACATTCCCGCCCGAGTCCCCGCCCTCTGAGCCTGTGAATATCTCCAAGTTCTTACAGTGAGGCATCAACACGATCTGAGGAAAATCCCAAATAAACAGGTCAGCATGTTTCACTCTGACTGACTTCACGCTCTACTTCCTGAAGTAGAAGATCTGAGCACGCTCACCGAGTCGATCAGCGTATATGGAGCCTGGACATCCCCAAAGGTAGCGTACAGTGGCAGGCTGAGGCGGATCGTGTAGTTCAGACCCGATTCAAAACAAACCGGTCTGGGAAGAACCACGTACCTGTGGGGAGAGATCGGGTTAGATACTGAAACGAGGCGAGATAAGCAGACAGGCCACGCAGAGGGTCAGCGTGACAGGATGATGGGCTGAGATGGTGAAGAAGGCTTGCAGGAACTAGTCTTATATTTCACACTTGACATTTCAAACTTGTCACGATTCAGAAACTTCTCTCCTGACCGTGAACTTGGGTGAAGCGAGATCATCTGGTTGTCGTCGTCGGGCACCGTGTTGATGCAGCGGCTGTCCGGCTGGATCGGTCCGGGTCTCATCACCGTCATCAGAACCTCCTCCCACACGTCCGGCAGCTGCAGAGCCGACAGACGCAGAGATGTTACCTCTATGCACATAAATAAGCAGGCGCGTGCACGTTTATCTTTCCAGGCTAACAGATGAGGCAGGTACACGGGTCAACAAAGGCTACAACTACGAGATAAGCGCCAAAGTTCTCCCACTGATTCAGGACATGACGACACACGCGTTCAATGGCAGACTCACACCTGCGGTTCGTAGCGGATCAGGATGTCATATTCCATTGAGTGAGGGACGTTGTCTACAGTGAACTCCAAGAAGGCCCCCTCTGGTACGTTGGCTAGCCCGATGCCTGTCCAAGTGGGACTACGGTCCTGAGGGTGGGGCCTCTGGACCACCGTCACTCCCTAAAGAGATGCAGACACAAAGCTGATGAAGACCCTCAACACCTCACAT